TTGCTTTGTTTATGATAGCCATCCTGACTGGTGTAAAGTGGTATCTTATTGTGGTTTTAATTTTCATCTCTCTGATAGCTAACAATATTGAGCATCTCTTCATGTGTCTCTGTATATTCTGTATGTCCTCTTTAGAGAAGTGTCTGTTCAAGTCATTTTCCCATTTTTTAATTGGGTTAGGTGTCTTCTTAGAGTGGAGTCGTGTAAGTTCTTTGTATATTTTGGAGATAAAACCTGTGTCTGAGGTATCATTGGCAAATATGTTTTCCCATACACTTGGTTGTCTTGCTAATTTAATACTGTTTTCTTTAGCCATGCAGAAGCTTTTTATTTTTATGAGATCCCATTTGTTTATTCTTTCCTTTACATTCCTTGCTCTAGGGGACATATCAGTAAAAAAGTTGCTGGGTGAAATATCTGAGATTTTCTTGCCAATGTTCTCCTCTAGGACTTTAATGGTGTCACGACTTACGTTTAACTCTTTTATGCACCTTGAATTTATTTTGGTGTATGGTGTAAGTCTGGCTCAAGTTTCATTTTTTTGCACGTAGCTGTCCAGTTCTCCCAACACCATTTGTTGAAGAGGCTCTCTCTTTACTCCATTTCATGTTACTGCCACCTTTGTCAAATATTAATTGAGTATAGAGAGTTGGGGTAATTTTTGGACTCGCTATTCTGTTCTATTGGTTTTTGTGCCTGTTTTTCTGCCAGTACCAGGCTGTTTTGATTACAGTGGCCTGTAATACAGTTTGATATCAGGTATTGTGATCCCTCCTACTTTGTTCTTCTTTCTCAAAAGAGCAGCTGCTATTCGGGCTCGTTTATGGTTCCATATAAATTTTCGAAGTGTTTGTTCTATGTCTGTGAAATATGCCATTGGTACTTTAATAGGTATTACATTGAATCTGTATATTGCTTTGGGTAGTATGGACATTTTGATGATGTTAATTCTTCCAATCCATGAACATGGTGTATGTTTCCATTTGTTTGTGTTTTCCTTGATTTCATTCTTCAGGGCTGTGTAGTTTTCTGCATACAGGTTTTTTACCTCCTTAGTTAGGTTTATTCCCAGATATTTTATTTTTCTTTTTGCTATATCGAATGGGATTTTTTCCTTGATTTCTGCTTCTGCTGATTCATTGTTGCTATACTAAAATGCCTTTGATTTCTGGATATTGACATTTCAACCCTGTGTTTTGCCAAATTCATTAATTAGTTAGAGCAGTTTTGGGGTAGAGTCTATAGGATTTTTTATGTACACTATCATGTCATCTGCAAACAGTGACAGTTTTGCTTCCTTCTTTCCTATTTGGATGACTTTTATTTCCTTTTTTGCCTGATCACTGTGGCTAAAACTTCCAATACTATATTGAATAGAAGTGGTGAAAGTGGATATCCTTGTCTTGTTCCTGATCTTAGTAAAAAAAGCTTTTAGTTTTTTCCCATTGAGTATGATATTGTCTGTAGGTCTCTCATATATGGCCTTTATTATTTTGAGAAATGCTCCCTGTATTCCCACTTTGCTGAGTGTTTTTATCATAAATGGGTGCTGTACCTTATAAAAAGCTTTTTCCACATCTATTGATATGATCATGTGATTTTTGTCTTTGCTTTTGTTTATGTGATGTATTACATTTACTGATTTGCGAATATTGAACCATCCTTGCATTCCTGGGATGAATCCCACTTGTTCTTGGTGTATGATCTTTTTGATATATTGTTGGATACAATTTGCCAATATTTTGTTGAGGATTTTAGCATCTTTGTTCATCAGCAATATTGAACTGAAGTTTTCTTTGCTGTGTCCCTATCTGGTTTTGGAATTAAGATGATGCTGGCTTCATAGAAAGAATTTGGGAGTCTTCCATCCTTCTGGATTTTTTGGGATAGTCTGTGGAGAATAGGGGTTAGCTCTTCCTTAAATGCTTTGTAGAATTCTCTTCTGAACCCATTTGGTCCGGGGCTTTTGTGTGATGGGAGTTTTTGATTACTGCTTCAATTACTTTTGCTGTTATTGGTGTATTTAGATTTTCTGCTTCTTTTTCACTGAGTTTTGGAAGATTGTATTTTTCTAGAAATGTGTCCATTTCCCCTAGGTTTTCAAATTTCTTGGCATGCAGTTCTTCTTAGTAATTTCTTACAATCCCTTCTATTTCTGTGGTATCAGTTGTAATCTCTCCTGTTTCATTTCTGATTGTGTTTATTTGAGTCCTCTCTCTTCTTTTCTTGATGAGCCTACTTAAAGGCTTGTTGATTTTGTTTATCTTCTCAAAGAACACACTCCTGAGTTCATCGATCCTTAGAATTTTGCTTATAGTTTCTATGTCATTTAATTCTGCTCTAATCTTGGTTATTTCCTTCTTTCTGCTTGCTCTGGGCTGTCTTTGTTGTTGTTGCTCCAGTTCTTGCAGGTGTAGGGCTGGTCCTTTGTTTGAAATGTTTCTAACTTCTTTAGGTAGGCCTGTATTGCTATAAACGTCCCTCTCAGGACTGCTTTGCCTGTGTCCCATAAGTTTTGGGTTGTTGTGAGATCATTTTCATTTGTTTCCAGAAACGTTTTGATTTCTTCCCTAATTTCATTCTTGACCCATTTGTTGTTTAATAGCATACCATTCAGTCTCCATGATTTTGGGTGCTTTGGGTTTTTTTCTTTGGGGTTGGTTTCCAATTTCAGTCCCTTGTGGTCAGAGAAGATGCTTGATATGATTTCAATTTTCTTGAATTTGTTGAGGCTCGTTTTGTGTCCTATCATGTGGTCTATCATTGAAAATGTTCCATGTGCATTTTAAAAGAATGTGTATTTAGCTTCTTTGGGATGAAGGGCTCTATATATATCAGTTAAGTCCATTTCATCTAGGGTGTTGTTTAATGCCACAATATCTTTGTTGATAATTTGTTTGGAACATCTGTCCATTTTTGATAGTGTGGTGTTAAAATCCCCTACTATAATTGTGTTGCTGTCAATATCTTTCTTGAAGTCCTCTAAGATTTTCTTGATATATTTGGGTGCTCCTATAATGCTGCATATATGTTTACAATGTTAATGTCTTCTTGGTGGATTCTTCCCTTGAGTATAATGAACTGACCTTCTGGGTCTCTCTTTATGTCCCTTTTTTTGAAGTCTATTTTGTCTGATGTGAGAATTGCTACCCCAGCTTTTTTTTCTTGTCCGTTTGCTTGGAAAACTTGTTTCCAGCCTTTCACTTTTAGTCTGTGATGGTCTTTTGTCCTGAGGTGGGTGTCTTGTAGGCAGCATATGTGTGGGTCATGCTTTCTTATCCATTGAGCTATTCTGTGTCTTTTGATTGGAGCATTTAATCCATTGACGTTTAAGGTTATTATTGGTAGGTACTTATTCATTGCCATTTTTGTACCTGTGTTCCTCTGTGTGTCCCTCTTACCCTTCCTTCCCTTAAAGCAGTCCTTTTAGTATTTCTTGTAGAGCTGGTTTGGTGGAGGCATATTCTTTTAGGCTTCTTTTGTCTTTTAAGGTCTTTATTCGTCCATCTATGTTGATTGAGAGCGTTGCTGGGTAAAGTAGCCTTGGTTGTAGGCCTCTGGTTCTCATTTCTTGGAATATTTCTTGCTATTCTCTTCTTGCTTGGAGTGTTTCCATTGAGAAGTCAGTAGCTAACCTTATTGGGGCTCCCTTGTATGTTATTTCTTTTTTCTCCCTTGCTGCCTTTAAGATTCTCTCTTTGTCTTGGAATTTTGCCATTTTGATGATAATGTGTCTTGAAATGGGCCTCCTTGGGTTCCTCTTGATTGGGACTCTCTGTGATTCCTGGATTTGTGAGACTTTTTGTCTTATCAAATTAGGGTAATTTTCTGTCATTACTCGTTCAAATACATTTTCTATCCCTTGTTCTTTTTCTTCTCCTTCTGGTATTCCTATTATTCGGATATTATTATGTTTCATATTGTCTTGCATTTCTCTTCATCCCTCTTCATACTTTCTGAGCCTCTTTTCATTTTCTTGCTCTTTCTGTGAGATGCTTTTTACCTTGTCCTCCAACTCACTAATCCTATCCTCTGCTTCATCTATCCTACTTTTGAAACTTTCTACTGTGTTCTTCAATTAAGAAATTGTGTTCCTCATTTTCTCTTTTTCCTTGCTAATAGTTTCCATTTCCTTTTTGATGTTGCTGTAGTTTGCAGAGAGATCATTATAGTTCCCCTGTAATTTCTGGTATTTCACTGTGAGCTCTTTGAACTTCGTAATAACCAGTGCTTTGAACTCACTGTCTGATAGTTGATTAGCCTCTATTTCATCTAACATTTTTTCTGAAGTTTCTGATTTTTCATTTGGGGATTTTTTCTTTGTGTTCCCATTGTATGTGAGACTCTTGTTGTTAGTCTGTGCTTCTAAAATTGATCTTTTCTGAAACACTGGTTTTATGGTGTGAACTTCTGTGGTAGATCCTTATGAAGTTCAGTGGTGCAGACTCCTTGAAGTTTCTTGATGCTCTTCGTCTCCACCTACTCTCACGCTGGTCCTGGTGCTGGTCCCTGGGTTAGTCGCCTACCACTGCTGAATGTCCCGGCTCTAGTAGCCGTCTCCTCAAGCCCCCAGGCCCATTACTAGGGTAACGGCACAGGGGCTGGGAATGTCCCAGCTCCCGTAGCTGGCTCCTTTGGTGCCCAGGACCGTCACAGGGGTTTGGAGTGTCCCGGCTTCTGTACCTGACTCTCCGGGCTCCAGTGCTCTCTCTATGGCAGTGACACAGAGGCTTAGAATTTCCCAGCTTCGGTACCTGACTCCCCTGCATGCAGACCTGTCACTATGGGAGTGGCACAGGGGCTGAGAGTGCCTCGGCTGTGTAGGTGACTCCTCTGCCTCCCAGGACCATCACGGGGGTTTAGAGCCTTCTTTCTCCCGTACCTGACTCCCCACCATCCATTCCCGTGGCTATGAAAGTGGCACAGGGGCTGAGAGTTTCCAGGCTCCCGTAGCTGGCTCCTCTGCCGCCCAGGGCCTTCACTGGAATTATTTTTTAGAAACCACTCAGACTGCATTCTCTCCCTCTTACTCTTCCAAAGGAAGAGAAGAGAGATTATCAATGGCTATTGGTAGTTGCAAAAGTAACATCAAAAGCTGGCTTCATGCTCAGGAGAGAACACTGTGCATCCTCCTCATGGTTCTGGGTGCTCTACAAGTTCAGAGAAACTTCTCAAGTAATGAACTATAGAATGACCCCTGAAAGTATAGTCTTTCCAATGGAATTTTTTACAGAAATAGAAAAAATACTAAAATTTATATGTAACTAAAAAAAGAGCTCAAATAGCCAAGGAAATCATCAGATTGATCAAAGTTGGAGGCATAACAATTATTTATTTCAAAGCTATAATAATCAAAACTGTAAAGTACTGGTATTAAAAAGTCACATACATAAATAAAACAGTATCAAGAGCTCAGAAATAAACCCACACATATGTTTTTATGTAATATTTGATGATATAGCCAAGAATACTCATCAGAAGATGGTAGTCACTTCAATAAATGATGATGGGAAAACTAGATATCTACATGCAAAAGAATAAAAATGCGTACTTATCCTATGCCACTCACAAAAAGTAAGTGATTAAGGACTTAAACATAAGACCTGAAACCATAAAACTCCTATAAGAAAGGAGAAAAAAATCTTCTTGACTTCAGCCTTGACCATGGTTTTCTGAATAACAAACCAAAATCAAAAGGAACAATAGTATAAGTCAAATCAATGGAGTGTATCAGAAGGAAGCAAATAATGGCCAAACAGAAAAGAGTGAAGAAACAAGAATTCAAAAAAAATGAGGAGAGTCTTAGGAACCTCCAGGACATCTTTAAATGCTCCAACATCCGAATTATAGGGATACCAGAAGGGGGAAAGGAACAGCCACCAGTGGAAAACTTATTTGAACAAATAATAAAGGAGAATTTCCCCAATCTGGCAAAGGAAATAGACTTCCAGGAAATCTAGGAATCTCAGAGAGTCCCAAAGAAGTTGGAACCAAGAAGAAACACACCAAGGCACATCATCATTACATTACCCAAGATTAAAATGAAGGAGAGAATCCTAGAAGCAGCAAGAGATAAGGGGACAGTCACCTACAAAGAAATTCCCATCAGACTGTCAGCAGATTTCTCAAAAGAGGCCTTACAGGGAAGAAGGGGCTGGAAAGAGTTATTTCAAGTCATGAAATCCGAAGACCTACAACCAAGAGTGCTCTATTCAGCAAAACTTTCATTTAGAATGGAAGGACAGATAAAGTGCTTCTCAGATAAGATCAAATTCAAGGAGTTCATCATCACCAAGCCCTTATATGAAATGTTAAAAGGAATTACCTAAGAAAAAGAAGTTAAAAAAACATGAACAGTGAAAGGGCAGCAAACTCACAGTTACTAACAACCACACCTAAAACAAAAGCAAACTAAAAAAACAGCTAGATCAGGAGTGGAAGCATAGAAATGAAGATCTCAAGGAGATTTAGCAACAGGGGAGTGGGAGGAGGAGAAGGGAGGAGAAGGTACAGAAAATAAGTAGCATAGACAGTAGATAGAAAATAGATGGGGGGGCAAGAATAGTATGGGAAATATAGAATCTAAAGAACTTGAGACACATGGTCATAAACTAAAGGGGGGTAATGGTGGGGACGGGGGGGTAGGGTGGAGGCTAATGAAGGGGGTTATAGAACAACTGTAATGGCATAATCAATAAAAAATAAATTTAAAAAAGTCAACAAGTGAGACTATATAAAACTAAAAGGTTTCTGCACTGTAAAAGAAACAATCAACAAAATGAAAAGACAACCTGTGGAATGGAAGAATAAGTGTAAACTATATATCTAGTAAGGTGTTAATATCCAAAATATATAAGAAATTTACATAACAATATAGAAAATATACAAATTTATTTTAAAATAAAGAAGTCTTGAATAAATATTTTCCCAAAGAAGACATACAAATGGCCAACATGTACATGAAAAGATGCTCAATATCACTAATTATTAGAGAAATTCAAATCAGAAACAAAATTAGATATCATCTCACACCTGTTAGAATGGCTATTATCAGAAAAACAAAAGATAACAAATGCTGGTGAGAATGTGGAAAAAAGGGAATCCTGTTGTACTATTAGTAGAAATCGAAATCAGTATAGCTGTGATGGAAAACAGTATGAAGTTTCCTAAAAAAATCAATAAAATAATCATATGATCCACCAATTCCTCTCTGGATATTTATCTAGACAAAAATCACTATTTTAAAAACTATGCATACTACCATGTTCATGGCACTATTACTCACAATAACCAAAACATGAAACTAACTTAAGTGTGATGGCCAATAGATATATGACAAGATGTTCATCACCAATCATCAGAGAAATGCAAATTAAAACCACAATGAGATATCTGTCACACCTTTCAGGATGGCTATCATCAATAAATCAACAAACAAGTGCTGGCGAGAATGGGAAAAGGGAAACCCTTTGGCACTGTTGGTGGAAATGCAGATTTGTGTATCCACTGTGGAAAGCAGTATAGAGATAGTATAAAAAATAAAAATGGATCTGCCTTATGACTCAGTGATCCCACTTCTGACAATATATCCAAAGGAACCCAAAACACTAAGTTGAAAGAATATAAATACCCCTATGTTCATTGCAGCATTATTTACAATTGTTAATATATGAGAGCAGCCCGAGTGTCCATCAGTAGATAAGTGGATAAAACAATGTGGTACATTTACACAATGGAGTAGTACTTGACTGTAAAAAAGAAAGTTTTACTCTTTGCAACAGTATGGATGGACCTGTAGAACATTATGCTAAGTGGAATAAGCCAGTTAGACAAAGGCAAGTACCATATAATTTCACTCATAGGTGGAATTTAATGAACAAACTGAACTAACAGGGAAAATGGGGACAGACACATAGACGGGGTGGAGGATGACACTCCGCTAGTGGGTGGAGTTAGGAAGTGAAGAGATTGAGCAAGAAGATAAGAGGTCTCATGGACATGGACAACAGTGTTGTGATTGCTGGGGGAAGGGATATAAGGGGATTAAATGGTAATAAAAAACTATAATAAAGATTAAATATAAAGTAAAAATAATAAATAGGACATGTCATATTTTATTATTTTTACTTTATATTTAGACTTTATTGTAGTTTTTTCATTGCCATTTAATCCCCTTATACCCCTTCCTCCAGCAATCACCGCACTATTGTCCATACACACACATATGTATATGTATATATGTATATATAATGTTATTCAGTCACAAAAACATAAAGAAATTTTGCCATATACAACCATATGGATGAATCTTGAGGGTATTATACTAAGTGAAATAAGGCAGACAAAGAAAGACAAATACTGCATAATCTCACTTATGTGGCAAGTCTCAAACCATCAAATTCACAAAACAGAGTAAAATGGTGGTTGTCAGTGTCTAAGGGATTGAGGAAATAAGCATATGTTTGTCAAAGGGTACAAACTTACAGTTTTAAAATGAATAAATTCTGTAGATTTAATGTACAGCATGGTGAATTTACAATACAGTATTGTGTATTTGAGAGTTGATATGAAAATAGACTTTTAATGTTCTCACCAAAACAATAACAAAATGATAATTATATGAAATAAAGGATGTGTTAACTAATCTTATTCTAGTAAAGCATTTTACAATACATATGTGTATCAAATCACAACATTGTGCACCTTAAGCTTCTAAATTGTTTATATCAATTAGATTTCAATAAAGCTGAAAATAAAACTAGCCCATAATGATCTAGGAATTCAATTTTTTCTGAATTACTGATTCCCTTCTGATATTGATATAGATATTCTTGAAAGAGTAATAGGAAACATAGGTTGATGGTAAACCCTATGAATATTTTATTTAATCTTTTTCTTCAAATATTTTATTTTTTATTTAGAGAGAGGATCAGGGAGCTAGGGCAAAAAACATCAATGTGAGAGATAAATATTGACTGGGTGTCTTCTGTATATGCCTCAGGGGACCAAAACTGCAAACCACTCACGTACCTTGACCTGGAATCTAACTAGGGACCTTTTCATTCACTGGACAGTGCACAACCAGCTGAGCCACTGTGGCTGGGCCTAAAAGGAATAACACAGGGAGCACAAAATCAGGTAATGAGTTTCATTGTCTATTCACAAAGATACTTAATTTCTTGTTGCTAACTATGTTTAGGATGCAAAGCAAATAATGTCATCATTAAGCATTAAATTGTTAATGAACATAAAATTTGTTCTTTCAAGTGATAAAGCAGTGAAGAAAATTAAACTTTTTCTTTAAGGAATAATTAGACACTTATAGAAAGAAAGATTGCAAAAAGGAGTGTCTCACTAAAAAGTACCTGTATATTTTCTCTGTAGATGAAGCTCTCATTATACAGGACAGGGGAATAACAAATTCTTGGACTAGATTAGTTGGAGAAGTATGGGTATAATAAGGTCAGCCATACCAGTAATTTAGTTACCTGGAGGGTCAGCGTGGTAAGACCTTGAGAAGGCCAAGGAGAAAAAGAATTGATGTAATTATTTCATTTTTTGTGTGTTCCCATACTGAAAAAGAGCAGGCTATGAAATAAAAGAATTATGAAAAAAAAGTTTTAAATTGTATTGAAAATCACGATGAGAAGTAATCATCTAAGGACAGCATGAAGAGTCAAACAAATCACAAGGTTGTCAATTAGTATCTGCAATGAAAGACATTAGATGTGGAGCTTTAACATCAAAGTTGTTAACATCAAAGATATAAACTACTTGCTTTTACTCCACAAAAATGGCTAGCTTAGAGGTCTCTTTAAAGAGCTTAGAAGAACATAGGAGAAAGAATTTAACATATTTTAAAGTTTAAAAAAATCTAAATTTAGTTAAAAAGGATATTGACTTGGGTGTGGAAATGGGTAAAAAGGGGAAAGGAAATATAGTCAATAATATTGTGGTAAGTTTGCATGGTGACAGAGGATTACTAGAATGAGTGGGAGTGATCATATAGTAAATTATAAAAATGTCACATCACTATAATATACACCTGAAACTAATGTAATCAATGTAATATTGTATATGAACTCTACTGAAATCAATTTTTATAAAGAAGAATATCCTGGGACTTCCAGTCAACATGGAGGCTTATGTAGACACACTTCATCTTCTTGCACAACCATGAGAAGGATCACAACTAACTTCAAAACAAAAAACA